CCCTCAGCCAGCTCACCACCACCTCCACCGCGGTGGTCGTCTTGCCCGTGCCCGGGGGGCCCTGCAGGAGGCTCAGGCGGCGCTGCTCCTCCAGCACGATGTCCACCGCCCGCTGCTGCGACGGGTTCAGCTGACGCGGCTCGGGCGGCGCCTCGGCCGGGGGCCGCGGCGGCGCGGCCGCGTGCGCCTGCCGCGCGGCCGAGGAAACGTCCGAGCTCGTGCTGGCCTTCGGGCGCGTGGAGGGGTCCCACCGCAGCGCCGCCATCGACGTCTCGGCGACGTCGGCGAAGACGGCATCCGCGAGTGGCGTGCCGGGCGACACGATGCCCATCCTGCTCTTCACCTTCTTCGACGGCTTCTCGCAGCTCTGCAGCATGTCCAGTACGCGGTCGATGCGCTCGTATGTGGACATGTTGGGGCCCAGGTCCACTCGGAAGAGCCGCCCCTCGGGGAGGCGGTCGTAGGTTGTGGACACCACGATGGCCCCGTCCGTGATGCGGTCGATCTCTCCTCCGATGGAGACGCTGGGGTTGTCCAGGTCCACGGCGCCTTCTTCCTCCGTGATGAGAACCGAGCGCCCGACGCCGAGCTCCGGCAGCCGCGGGATGCCGCCCGGGCGCGTCAGCGCCACGCGGCCGTCGGTCAGAGCTGCCCGCAGGCCGGCGCAGCCGTGCCCGGTGCTCTCCAGCTGCCGCGTGCCGCGCCGCACCCGCTGGCGCACCGCCTCCTTCTCGGCCTCGTACTCGCACGCGAGGAGCGGCCGGAAGTGGCCGGTGTAGGCGTTCACCTTCACCTTCCAGTCCTCGAACTGATGGCGGTGCGCCCCCTGCTCCAGCTGGGAGACGTCCACCTCCGCCACCGCGTCGGCTGCCTCCACCCGCACCGCGGCGAGGTCGCACGGCAAGCGGGAGGGCGTCAGGGGCAGGGCGGAGAGCCAGGAGAAGCCGGCTGGGAGGCGCTGCGGCGGGAAGGGGCAGCCCGGCCCCCCGAAGTACGCCAGGACCGTCGCCTCCTTGACGAGCACGTGGGGGAAGAAGGGCTCTCCCCACAAATGCCTCGGGATCGCCCAGGCGTCACCGGGAATGGCGTGCCCGTTCTTCATGAAGCCGAGCGCGTGCCTCTCCAGGTCGATCAGCGCCACGACGATGTCCCCCTTGCCGTACGTCTGGCCGTACTTGCCGTACTTGCCGGCGTGGGACTTCGTCGCGGTGCCGCCGTAGCCGAACGACCTGTCGTCCATGCCGAGCTCCAGCGTGGCACCGCCCAGCGACCAGCCCACCCGCATGTTGCCGCCGCTCTCGTTGCGGACCGCGAAAGCGCCGCGGCCCTGGGCGATGCCCCTCGAGGCCCGGCAACCGCTCCAGCCCGTGGACGCGTCGGCACGCCGGCCCTTCACCAGCGGCCAGCCCAGGAACACGAACGACTCGTCGCGGTCCGCCGGGCTCCAGCAGACGCCCCCCGCGGGCTCGGCGGGCTCGGCAGGCGGACGGCCGCCGCAGGGCCGGTCGGCGCCCTGCATCCCGCGGGCGGCCCTGGCGGCCTCGGGCCGGGCGCCCGCTCGCGAGCCCGCGCGCCCGCGCGCGCAGGGGCGGCGAGGTCGCCGGCGGTGGGTGGAGCCATCGCTCAAGCCGGAAACGGCTTGCGCCAAAATGGCTACGGATGCAGGCGCCGAGTCGAGCTGGTGGGGATACGCGAAGCGTCAACCATTGTGTCTTTGGCATTCTCTTCATCTTCCCGAGGCGAGCACGGCCACGGCGGCGAGGAGAACCCCGAGGGCCAGAGGAGCGGCAAAAATGCGAGCGTCCAGACAAGGCCCAGCCCCTCCAACCCCAGGTCCGGTGTCAGCTTGGTGATCTCGAAGCCGTTGTCGTGCGCCGCAAGCGCAGGCATGGGCGCTGCACCGAAGTCGGCCTGGCGTCTGTTTGCGCGCGCCTGGCTCGTCTGCCCTCCGTGTCCTCCTTCCGTCTCTGCTCTCCCTGCCGGGCCAGAATCCGCTACAAACCTGTGCTTTTGGAACACTTCCAGGCGCCGCGCCGGACACTCCCGCCCGCGAGTCGTCTGGCCGTGGTGGCGGATGGCCACCCCACGGGCCTGCACGAATGATAAGTAGTAGGCGAACCAACACCAGAAGAGCTCCTTGGGGCTTTCGTTTTGAATAGGACACCTGGGCGACGCCGGAAAACCAGGGTCGTCTGCGCCGACATTGGCGCGTAAACTGCCCGCGTGAGGTCGCGCGTAAGCACCCTCGTCTGCATTGTGGCGTGCCGCGATGGCGGCCCGGGGCCCGCGTAAGTCACCGCGTAAGATCGCTATGTCATCTCGCGTAAGGCCCGTTTTTGATCGTCGCTCACTTGTTGCTCCTCCTTCCTTCTCCCGCCTCCTCACTCCTCTTCCGCTCCTCCTCGCTCCCGCCTCCCGCCTCCCCTCACTCTCACCGCCTCCTCACGTGCTCTTCCGTTAGTCTTCGATGCGTCCTCGCTTCCCCTCCCTGGGCGCTGCGCAGGAACCTAGACGTGCAGCAAAGTGACACCACTACCCGTCGGTCGGAAGAAGAGGATAGAAACATGAAGTGGGGAGGCGTTGGTAGTAGATTGGGCTTCCACCCGCCTCCCTGAAGACGAGAGAAAAACGGAAGCCTCTCGATCCTTGAAGTAGGAAGGCGCCTGACGTAATTAGATTGGGATCTGGGAATCCAGGCTGAGGCCCTACTTCCAACGATCGGAGTATGCGCAGACCCAAACTAGATGTCGCCCCCCAGGGCGCTGCCAGCTGCTCAGCCGTCCGCGTTTTCGTGAGCTCCTTATATGTGCGGCGAGGTGACGACCCTGCGCATACCTAAAACTATTGCTCCCCTCCTTGGCCGCTGCCATCTGCTCAACTGTCCGCACTTGCGTGAACTCCTGGGGGGGGCCAGCGGAATGACGCTCCTACGCAGATACGAACGATTTCCCCCCCCTTCCGGGGGATGCCAGCGCAACTGCTCACCCTTTTGTGAGCTCCTTGGAGCTGCAGCGGGTGACGCCCTAAGAGGATCAAATAAGCAAGTGAGATTTCCACTCCTGGGTGTTCCCAGCTGCGCAACTGTCCGCGCTGTCCTGAGCTCTTGGGAGGTACAGCGGGTACGCAGATCCAGACTATTTCCCCAACCCCCGGCGCTGCCACCTGCGCAAATGCCCGCACTACTTTCGCTTGCTCCTGGGCCATCGGGGTGACGCCCTGCGCAGATCTAAACTTGACCTCGCCTGCCTGGGCGCTGCTGCCAGCTACTCAACTGTCCGCGCGTTCGGGACTTCCTGGGAGGTGCAGCGGGGTGACGCCCTCCGCAAATCCAAACGAGACCTCGCCTCCCTTGGCGCTGCCGCTCTGAACCTGTCCGCACTTCCGTGAGCTCCGGCGAGGCGCTGTGAAGTGACGCCCTATGCAGACCCAAACTGGACCTCGCCCCCCTGGGCGCTGCCAGCCGCGCAACTGCCCGCACTTTCGCGAGATCCTGGGAGGTCCGGGGTGACTCCCTGCATCCAAGCGAGAGACCACGCCTCCCTGTGCGGGAGGGGAGGAATACCAATCGCGGGACCCAGAGCGCCGCGGTGCTCCGCGCGGTGACAGCGGACCCCCCCCCCGAAGTCCCGAAGACCTCATCGCACGATCCGTCACCGCACCGTCTTTTGAGACCTCGAGACATCCTTGGAGAGCATCCAAAGTCCCACAACTTGAGCAGGGACCGACCGTCCCGGCATTCCTATAGTCCTACCACGAAATGTTCTTAGAACTCCCAAATGTTCTAGAACAAAAGCAATGTTCTTAGAACATAAACCCGATGTGGTAGAACAGGACAAACTCCAGCCAGAAATGCTCTAAGAACATTTCGTGGGAAACACAAAAGGTTCTTAGAACAGTGTGTTTGTCAGGGCTATAGGCGAGCCAGTATGCTTCGCCACTGCTTGACGTTGAGACCTCGAGACGTCCTTAAAAGACATCCGGAGCCCCACGGCCGCGAGCCGGGCCCTCGGGGGCACACCTCCGCTCAGACCTCCGGCCTCCGTCGGCCGACCGGGACAATCCCGTGGCACACCCGGAGCGCGCTTCTCCGGCGGAGCGCAGCTGCTGGAAGGCGTCCCGGAGGCGAGACGACCGACAGGGGTCGACGAAGACGTCCGAAGACGCCCGAGGGGGGAGGCGCAGCTCTTCCCTCAGGAACAGGGCGCCACCACCACCTCGCTTCTCTCGGTCTCCATGCCCGGGAGAGCGCGCGAACGCCGACTTGCTGGCACGAGCCGTGCAGGAGGGACGAGTGAGATCCGTGCGGAGGACGAACGAGGAGCAGCGGCAGGAGGCAGCAGCAGGAGGAGGAGGGACGAGGGCGCGGTGTGACGATTCCCTGCGACGTCCCCCGGGGGGAGGGCAGGAGCGCCCAGAATCGAATCGATACGTCGGACCGGCGATCGAAACGAATCGGATCGGCGGAAATCGGCAGCCGAGTCGGGAGAAGTCGAATGCGCAGAAGTCGGCAGGCTGGTATGCTTCCAGTAACGAATCGGAGCCCAGATCCGAACCCCAAGTCGAACCGGATCGGAATCGGAAGCCGTCGAGATCGAATCGAAGTCGAGTCGGAGGAGTCGAAACGAGCCCCGGTAAGGGAGGAGGAGCAGCAGCAGCAGGGGAAGGCACTCCCTCCGCACGGCCACCGCACCGCGTGGGGACCTCGGAGGCCCCGGGCTCCCGAGGGGCCTCGGAGAGACCGGCCCGGGCATCCCAAAAGCTGCGCGGCCGCCCCGAGGACCCCCACCGCCTCACCACGCGGCGAGGCCACCGGGGCGCAGCAACCGCGCGAGGGGCTCTCGCGCGCGGGGCGCGCGGCGTGCCTGTGCACAGTGGCCGAGGGGGCGGCCAGCGGCTCCCTGTGGTGCAGTCCAGCGCGGTTGCACGGCAACGGCCAGGCGTCAGGCGTCAAGCTCTGCGACGAGACCCGAAGCCCCCCACCGCCTCCTCGCGCGGTGTGGTCACCGCGCGGCGGCAGGGCGCAGCAGCTGAGTGCGGGGCCCTCGCGCGCGGGGCGCGCGGCATGCCCGTGCACCGTGGCCAAGGGGCCCTCTGCACTCAAACTGCTTGCCAGTGAGCCCGCTGTGGGCACGTGCGGTGGGGAGACCACGCGTGTCGACCCGACCCGCCACAAGCGAGCCGCGGCGATGTGCGCCCGAAGCTGTCTGGGCCGGGGATGTCGGAAATCAGCCCCAGCGCGCCCTGCCCGCCATGCGGCCCCCGTGGCGGCCGAGGGGCGGCCAGCGGCGCCCTGTGGTGCAGTCCAGCGCGGCTGCACGGCAGCGGCCAGGCGCCGAGCTCCGCGACGAGGCCCGAAACGGGAGGCACACAGGCGACAACGGCGACAACGGCTTGGACGCCCGAACTCTCCGGGATATTCTCGTTCCGGGCTAGCTCTATAATTAGCTGCCCCTGGCTGCCCCCGCACCGGATGACTCGGGGCTCCGAGTGCCGTTTTGCTACGGAGTTCGTTGACGAATCTGCGTTTCGCTCGTGCTCTGTTGCTCGTCCTTCCCTCTCTCCTACTCCTAATGCTGGTCCTCCTCCCGTGCTCGTGCAGATTCTGCTTCGCAGTCGCGTTGCGCTCTGTTTCCTGTTTCACAATCGTGGGGCGTTCCGTTCTTCTGCGTCATGCTCGTGATACTGTTGCTCTCTCGCTTCCAGCGTGGTGGAAACTGCGCATTCGTCTGCCCACGCGCCCTACCGGAGGCTCGGCTCAGTAGAGTTGGCTCGGCGGGGTCGGGCGGACAATCGCGAAGCTCTGCATTATCTGCTTCATTTGCACATGCAAACAAAGAGCTTGAGACAATGAGACAAACGGCCAGCAAACGGCCCCGGGGACACCAATCTGGGCCACGCCTGAAATTGAAAGCAAAGCGCTTGCAGAGACATGCGCCAACCAACTAACTAGTTGCAGCGCTGTACAATGCGTTGTCTCATCCACGCGCCAACGGGCATATGGCACATTGTTTGATTGACTGAGTTTGAAGTCAGGGAGACGAACGGGTAGGATAGCAAAGGGTAGGGTAGGTAATCAGCTCACGTAGAAGCTTTTCCTGGCGCCTGCTGGCGCTGGGAAGCGCCCATGCATCGAGGAATGGGCCCGGCGGCGGGGCAGAAAACAATTGCATGCAACAGATTTCGTAACGCCCCCTTTCCCAACCCCCCTTTCCCAGACCCCCGACGTCGCGATCTCTTCATAACGTCGACCCCCAAAGATCTGGACCCCTTCCCCGCGACCAGTGCTTCATCCTGAGCCGAGATGTTTCACAGTCCCCCCCCCCCCCCGAGGCCGGAAATATAGCGAACAAAACTCGAGTCGTCACTTTGATTGCACAACGCGAGGGAGTCTGGGTTTTTGTCCGACCCGACTGCAATCGGGGGAGAGGCCCTGGCCCTGGCCCCAGCCGCGGCCCCAGCCCAAGCCCCAACAGAGCCCAAGCGGCTCCCAAGAGAGCTCGAAGAAAGGCTCCAGAGCGTCAGCATCGTCGTCGTCGTCGTCGCCGCTGCCGCCGCCGCCGCCGTCGTCGCGGTTGCCCCTTCAGGGTCGGCAGCGCCGGCCGCTAGGCCTTCCCTGGGACGGGCTTTTCATCCTGAGTCGCCCCGAGGAAGGGCCCCGGGAGGCCGAACATACAGAGAAACCTCCCGTCGCGATTTTGGCACGACGCTAGGGGGTCTGAACGGGGGAGAGGGTCAGCGTCGTCGTCGTCGCCGCCGCCGCCGTCGTCGTCGTCGTCGCCGTTCCCCTTCAGGGCCTGCGGAGGAGGAGGATAGGAGAACAAAAAGTGGCATAAACATAACAACTCGGAGGTCCGCGCGGATTTCTCGGATCCGCGCGGGACCCCCCTCCCTGGCGCGCGGAGCGCGCCAGGGGCGGCGCCGGAGGCGCCGCCAGTGGGGTCCAGCGCGGACCGAGAAATCCGCGCGGACCTCCGAGTTTTTATGTTTATGCCATTATTCGTTCCCCTAGAGGAGGAGGGAGGAGGAGGAGGAGGAGGAGGAGGAGGAGGAGGAGGAGGACGAGGAGGAGGAGGAGGAGGAGGAGGCCGCTAGGCCTTCCCACTCGGGGGAGGGGCGGACCTCCCTCCGCCGGCGGCCGTGCGGCAGCGGGGCCTCGAAGGCGGCCTTCGCCGGCGGGCCGCCCGCCGCGCCTGGCGGGGCCGGCCGCGGGGGGGCCGCGGGCGGGGAGACGAGGCTGCGGCTCCTGGAGGAGAGGCCGGCCCGAGCCGGATCGGACCACGAGAATCCCAGATAGGAGGAGGAGGAGGAGGAGGAGGAGGAGGAGGAGGAGGAGGAGGAGGGATTGGAGTTAGGGGAGGAGAAGAGGAGGAGGAGGAGGAAGAGGAGGAGGAGGAAGAAGATGAAGGGGAACCAGGACACACAAATAACTAGATTCCTTACATTTTCTTATATTTTCTGGGTTTTTGTCTTCCCCCCCACTTCCCATATTTTCTAATATTTTCTCGGGAATCGACGATTCATTGTGTCTGTGTGTTTGTGTTCCCTCCTGAAGATAGCTCGTAGAGAGCTACCCAGTGATACCTCGCCTTGAAAAAGTCAAGACGGAGGCTTCTCGCAGTATTCAGCTCCCAAGGGCCCACGCCGGGCCCCAGGACCGTCAAAAAACGGCTCGGGATGGAAAGCCGGTCCTCGGGACTGGGTCGAGACTTCCGGGGACCCCGCATGGAAAAAATCACGACGTCGGATCTCTGGGCAAGAAGCTTTCAGATTGAGAAGCCAGAGCCGCAGGGTAGCCCCGGAGCTCGTTCCAGTTTCCGGCAGGACACCTCGGCGCGCTCTGCTTGAGCCTGCAGCGTGTCCCGGCAGGCCCTTTCGAAGCGTTTCCCGATACACGTGCCCGGAAGCTCTCCAGAAGGTCCTTCGGAAGCTCTATCCAGGTCCTTCCGAAGATCTTCGACAGGCCTGCGCACGCCCCTCTGGCGCGCTGCTATCCAAGTTTTGGACCCCACAAGTCGGGTCGGGTCGGGAAGTCGGGTCGGCACTGGTACGGCCAGGGCATCGGATGAGGAACCATTGGATGAGGCACCCAGGGTCTGGAAGCCAGTGGAGCTCCAATCGTGGATTGGCCGTGGACATCGCCGCCGCCCTCCTCAAGTATGGGATCCTCCAGGGTCTGAGGCCTCCTGGGCTTCGTCATTCACGAACGCCCCAGAATCGATGCAGCATCGGACCGATATACATCGGAAGTCTCTGAGAATCGGCGGGTTTGGAGGATGTGCCAGTCGCGGCGGGTTGGGGATATGTATCGGGCGCCGCGACCGCGCTCGGGCGCGGCGGGTTCGGAGGATGCGCCACGGCCGTTTCAGAACGTTCCAGAACGCTCTGGGAGCGTTCCAGAACGCTCCGGAACGGATGTATCTCGACTCTATAGGCCCGTCCGAATCGGGTCGATGGATCGACTCGCGACACTGGATTGGGTCGCGGAGCCAGGTCGGATCGCGAAATCGGATCGGGTCGGAGACGGATCGGGCCAGATCGCGAGAGCGGATCAGGGCCCCACAGACGGGGACAGTGCTAAGCCAGAATAGCGGCGTACCCCAGAAGTGTGCAGGCCTGGGCCGAGGCATCCCTGGTGTCCGTTCCCCCCAGCGAGAATGTCAAGGTCGTGATCTGCAATGCGCTGGTTTCTGGGGCCCTGGCCGGATCGGGACCGCAAACGGATCGGATCGCCGGCGAGTCGCCCCGAATGGGACCGAATTCGAGAGCGTAACGCCCGCGCTTGCTGGACCCAGCCGATGCGGGTGCATAATTATCGAGCCGAGCCGACACGAAGAGGACTCGCGGCCTCGGTCGGCGAACCGATTCGCATCGAGTCGGATCGCAAGGCGACCCTGGGAGGTCGGCGATGCTCCTCCACCCCGAGGGTCGAAGTTCGAGGGCTGGTCTTCGGCCTCAAGGGAAGGCGCCCTCTGGCCTCCGGGAAAGCACTCGTCGACACGGCTGGATCCCCCTCGGCATGCTGGCACGTTTTTGTGAAGTCCACGGAAGGATCCGGACCACAACCTGCCGTAGAGGCATCACGACGAGAAGGCTCCGTCTTGATGCTCCCCTCGTCACCTTTCCCTCCTCTTCGCCCGTCTCCTCCGCATCGTCGCCATCGTCGTCGTCGTCGTCGTCGTCGTCGTCGTCGTCGTCGTCGTCGACGTCGACGTCGACGTCGACGTCGACGTCCGTCCGCCTGCTCCTCCTCCTCCTCCTCGCCCTCCTCCTCCCACGTCCATCCCTTTTCCTTGGAAACGATTCATCCCTGTCGCACCCCCAGACGTATCGGTAGGGCGGGCTGGGCGTTTCGCCTGAGAGAGCCTCACCGCTCATGGCCCTGAAGCTAGAAAGTTGCAACAGCTTCACGGATGGAGGGCGGGCCGTTTTCAAAATGTGGTTCTCGCCTTAATTAGCGCCGTGCCCACTCGTTTGAAAAGTGTGCAACAGCTTCACGGATGGAGGGCGGGTGATTTTCAGCATGTGGGTCTCGACTTAGCGCCGCGCACACTTGTCTGAAAGGTTTGCAGCAGTTGCAAGGATTCAGGGCGGTTCCCTTTCAAAATGTGGCCCTCTCTTTAGCGCTTTCGTATCGAACGCTTACAACAGTTTTAGGGATTCGTACGTTCGACGTGAAGTTTCAGGATTGCCTGGACGCAACAGTCACGCTGATTCGTGGGGCAATTTCCCAGGGAATGATGTTCTAACATGGTTTAAGACTGCAGTAGGCCACAGCCATGTTGATTTGCAGCGCTGAAGTCCCAACAATGGTGTTCTGGCAAGGTTGAGGATTCTAAAGCGGTTGTGTTCCAACGCGGTTCTTCCCGCAATGAAAACAAATTCTGTTCGAGATCCATGGAGAGAGAACTTGGAGGGAGGGTGCATTGCAGCATCGTTGATGCATTTTGGGCTAACACTGGTCCTCCTCCTCATTATCTTCCTCTTCCTCCTCCTCCTCCTCCTCCTCCTCCTCCTCCACCACCGCATTCCGCAGACTATAGCCCCAGAGGCCCCCTGTGGTGGAAGGCGCCTCGGGGCCTGGGCTCGGGCCCGCCCCCCCCCCCTCGTGGATCTACGGACCCAGGTCAATCCAAACCCAGGCCAGTCAGGCTTCGCAAGATCCTGCAAGACCCTGCAAGACCCTGCGCGCAGGCCCCGGTCAGTGCACCTAGCTCTGGCTCCGCCGGATGCTGCAAGGTCCGGCGCTCTTGCTGGCCCCCGTTTGCATCGACCCCCATCTCAAGGCTCCCGACCCCCCCCCCAGCGGCCTTCGCCCGGCCAGCCGCCGAAGTCGGCCACGAAGCCGGCGTCCGGCGGCGCCGCGGGCGCCGCGGCGCCGCCGAAGTCGGCCTGAAAATCGGCCGGGGGCACGGCAGGCCCGCCGAAGTCGGCCTGGAAGGCGGGCGGCTGGGCCGCGGGGGCGAAAGCGGCCCAGCCCGCGGCGGCGGGCGGCGCGGCGGGCAGGTCCTTGCCCCGCCGGGGGGGTTGGGGGGCCGCTCAGGGGAGCTCCTCGTGGCGTCGCGGAGGGTAAGGGGGAACGGAGCACACGGGAACACGTGCGAGGCGACGACAAACTGGCGGAGGAGGCGGCGGCGGGGAGCGGCAGGAAACTCCTCCACCCGATCTTGTGCCTCATCCTCTTCCTGCTGTTGTTCTTCCCCCTCCTCCTCCTCCTCCTCATCATCCTTATAATCATCCTCCTGTTACTCGTATCCTTCCCCTTCCTCTTATTATGATACTTCTCATCCTCATTCTCCTCCTCCTCCACCTTCTCCTCCTCTTCTTCCTCCTCATCATCCGCCTCCTCCTCCTCCTCCTGTCGTGCTCTCCTCCTCCTTCTTCCTCCTCCTCCTCCTCCTCCTCCCATTCTCTCCTCCCTCTCGTCATCCTGCTACTCCGCCTCCTCCCACCCTTCATCGTCATCCTGCTGTCTTGCTCGCCTTCCTCATCGTCCTCCTCCTGCTCGTCTTCGCCCTCCTCCTCCTCCTCTTCCTCCTCCGCCTCCTCCTCCTCCTCCTCCACATCCCTTTCCCCGTCGCTCTTTCCCTCGCCCTTCCCCCCGTCGCCTTTCTCCCCACCCCCTTCGCATTCGCCCTCCTCCCCCCCTTCATTTTCCTGCCCCTCGCCTTCGCCTTCCTCCTCTTCCTCATCTTGCTTCTCCTCTCCTTCTCCCTCCTCGTCATTATTTCCATCTCCTCCTCCTCCGTAGCCATTTTGGCTCAAGATGTTGAGTTCCTCAGGGGAACAAGTGGATACCGCTAGTCCGCGGCAGTGCCAGGGCTGTTCAGCCCGACGTTTTCTCTCGAGACCTGTACGGGGAGCTGCGCGCTGCCGTCCAGAGTCTGTCTGCACGGTCGGGTGCCAGCTGCAGGTCGCAGGAGCCCGTATTCGGTCTGCGCGTCGTGTGGGAACTGGGCGTTCGACTTTCGTGTCAAGAAGAATGGGGGCATGTGCGGTGTCTGTTGGTCACCCATTGACGTCTCCAAGTCCAAGAGTGGTGGTCTGCAGGGCGACGGGCCGCCGTGGCGCGATGGGCCACGTCACCGGCGACCTGGGCAAGGGCTCGACACGTCGGCGCTTATCGCGATGCTGGCGTCCTGCCCCGCCTTCAAGTCCGACCCCACGGCCATCGAGAAGTTGCAGTCGCAGAGCTCCCAGTACCAGAAGAGCTTGGTCAAGCCGAAGGAACCGCATGGGGAAGTTCAGCAGCTATACCGCACAATGGAGCAGAAGCGTGCTGCCATGGAGTCGGCAGCGGAGCGTGCCACCGAGCTTCAGCAGGCTCTGGAGCGTGCCAACGCCGACGTCGCCATTGCATCGCAGCAGTTTCTTGAGGCGGAGGCCAAGCACAAGTCTGCGGTCAAGAGGCTTGCGCAGCAGGCCGAAGTGTCTACGCAGAAGGAAGGATACACCACCGACGGCAAGCGCATTCTCTTCGCCTACGACGAGTCCCTTTTCACGGACTTATCGGATGTCGACGGCGAGGCGAAGGCGCAGCTCGCGAATATTGAAGCAGACATCAAGGCCAAGGTTGAGGAGGGTGCCAAGCTGCAGGCGACGGTCCAGGAGGCGGCTGCGAGGGCCAAGGAGATCAGAGCGTCGCCGTCCAAGCGCTCCAGGCTCGACGAAGAGGGTGCCGCAGCCGCTGGGACTGGGGCGGAGTCTGGCGCCGAGGACACTGCCGCGCCGACCGCCGCCCCCCCCTCACCGACCGATGAGCTGTCCGAGCCCGCCGTGGAGGAGGCGGCAGTCAAAGAGCAGGTCAAGTCTGCGTTGGCCCAGGCGAGGGTCAAGGTCGAGAGCAAGGCTACTGCTGGCCTCGGTCCTCGGCCTGCTGCTGCTAGTGGGGCCGCTGCTGCGACGTCTCGTTCCTGATCGGCAGCCGACCTGGCTTGGGCGCGCTACCAGTACCAGTACGACCTATGCATCATCGGCCGCCCAGGGTGCCTCATCCCTGGGAAACCCCACATCATGCATTAAGGCTGTGGCAGCTATGGGGAATGGTGTTGGAGTTGGTACCTCTACCTCGCCGATTTCGACAGCGGCGGTGACTTCTGAGCACACCATCAAGACGGACAGTAATATTTTCTTCGCGAACATCTCTGAGTGGGGCCCTGTAGCCCAAGGTTTCTTTCGTGGTCAGGCCGGGGAATATGATACCCTGGGCATAGTTGAGACGCATATGAGGGGCGACCGTCTATCTCGTGCTGTTGCGGACATGAGTAAAGATGGATGGAGAGTTCTTGCTACTCCCTCTGTCCTGACAGGCAGATCGGCGCATGGCACCTCTGGAGGAGAATGGTTGGTTACTCGTAAGACGACTTTTCTCACCAGTTTCGAGCATTGGCGCACAGCTGGCGTTACCTCCAGAGTCGAAGACCCCTTTCGAGGCTTTTGTCCTGGTTTGTGGCACACTAGAGCTGGCAATATTGTTGTGGTGGCATGTTACCTTCTTCCTGGACACAAGTTGAGAGGCGATAGTGAGAAGACCTTGGTACGTTTGGCTGGGTTTCTAAAATTGATCAGAGATCCCTGGATTCTTGTTGGCGACTGGAATGTCACCCCTGCTGAATGGGACACCACAGATTGGATTGCGAAGCTCGGTGGGCAGCTGAAGTTACCCATCGACGGGCAGGTCACGTGCAACAGAGGTTCTGGCACCCTGATTGACTACGTGATCGCGCCCACCAAAATGCTGATGCGCTTCGTGTTAACATCGTGCCACACGTGCCATGGAAGACGCATGCAGGTCTCTCAATTACATTGAAGGCGGGTAGGGTCAGTTGGTGGATTCGCACGTTGTTGATCCCCAAGCCGTTGCCCACTGTCTCCAGACCTCGTCGGCAGCCTGACCCCGACAGTAAGAGGCAGAAGAAGATTAGCGAGACTAAACAGAGGCGACGCGAGCAGCTACCCGAAGTCCTTCAAGTTGCTTTCGACGAGCTGTACCCAGAGAAGGGAGATCACCCCATCGGCTCGACGCCGTTTGCCATCCCGCTGGATCTTTGGCGTAAGGTTCGTGCCCAGCCCTACGAAGGGCGGCCCGTGCAGCGTCCTCATGCTGCGCAGGATGCTGACACTGAGGCCCGTGATACGCTCTCTATTATGTATGGTGAATGGATCCGAGCTGTTGAGAACGCCACGATGCTGCACCACGACGCTTCGGAAGCAGATCGTGCGAAGTTTTGTGGGAGAGCGAATGGATACGATTTCAGTTGGTCTCAGTCGCGATCGACTCCTGGGCGTGCACATCTTCGAGACCAGCACCTGGAATGGTGGGAGCTTTGCACTGCGCTTATCCGCAGGTATGCGCTGCTCCATAGAGCTGGGAATGTTCAAGAGCTGGATTTGTGCGCGCGCAAACTTTGCGAGCTGCTTGAGGCCGCTTCTGTCATTGACTTTCATTTTGACAAGGATCCCAATTGTGATTGGGCTGGTTGGTTTGGCGCTGTTTCTAACATCGCCGGGGCCGACGACGATGAGCTCCAGGCGCTCATGGAGGCCGCCGACAAATATCGATCTAGAGCTCTCGGCCAAGCGCTCACCAAGGCTCGCAGAGGGCATCAGGCGTGGGTATTGAAAATGTGGAAGTCTTCCCCTGGAGTGTTACACCGTCATGTGAAGGGAGACCAGAAAGTCAAGCCTGCGGAGCTCATACGAGGCAATGATATCTACGCCACGCCCAACAGCATGATGGACTTGCGGGCTGATGATGAATGGAGTGGCATCTGGAGTGATCCTAAAGCTGATCCCAACAAGAGTTCAGGCAGGTTTCATGTACTTGAGAAGTAGGACTCGGTCTGATCCGCTGGAGGACATCACCCCTGAGGCTTTGGAGGCTGTTCTGTCGCGCTCCAACGCTAAGAAAGCCAAAGGAGTGGATTCCCTGGGGCCCATCGAGTTGCAGCGACTGCCTGAGCCAGCCAAAGCTGAACTGATTGAACTACTTCATGCTGTTGAAGCTCGTTGTCTGTGGCCGCAGCAAATTTTCATGGTCATTGCTTCTATCCTACCGAAGCCCAGAGGAAGGGATCGCATCTTGGGGTTGCTGCCTCACCTTGCACGGCTGCGGGCCCGATTGCGAAGCCAGCACACGTTAAATTGGAGCGAAGCCCTCGAGGAGCATTGGGACACTGCTGTTCGTGGTTCGTCGGCGCTGCTGGCTGCGCTGATCCGCTCGTGCATGGATGAGAGTTGCCGCGAGATGGGAATCGCCTCGTCGATGCTTCTTTTGGATCTGGAGAAGTTCTACGACAGCTTGTCTTTCTCATTATTATGTGTCTCAGCCTTGCAGCAAGGGTTTCCTCCTCAGGTTCTGGCTCCTGAGGTTCAGGTGTTCATGGCTCCCCGTCATCTGAATAATCAGAACTCGATTGGCAAGCAGATCTTGCCGCAACGCAGTGTTGTCGCTGGCTCATTGAATGGTGGGCGACTCGCGAAGGCCTTCTCAGGGCCAATTCTTCAGCGAGCACAGCAGCGCTTCGAAGGCCGAATCACGCCGCGCACCTTCGTGGACGACACCGTGCTGAGGGTTGCGAAGGTCCTGAGAGTGTTGTTGGCGGCCTTTTGGTGGAGTCTGGGAGTGCGTGGTGCAGCGATTTCGGTGCCGCGGGGCTGACAGTTAGCCCCAAGACTGCGGTGATCTCCTCGTCAGATTCCCTGTCTCTCAAGGTCTGCAATGGGCTTCGACGTGCGGGAGTCCCAGTCACTGCAGTTCGGCATGATGTGGATATTGGGATGGATGTTTCTGCTGGCAGGTACCGTTCCCGACACAAGGCGTGGGATCGTGTCAAGAGAGCCAAGTCGCGGGCCATGGCTATTCGTCGCATGAGCAAGCACGCCAAGCTCCGCAAGGTCACCAGTGCGCTGTGGTCTACTGGAGCGAAGCCGCAAGGGACTTATGCTCATCAAGCGCATGGTGCCCCTCGTCACCTCTTGGTGCAGTTGAGGCGACAGGCGGCACAGAGTGCGGTTGGCTCTGGTCCTGGCCGTTGTCTCACGCCTTCTATGGCAGCAGCCCTTGGGAGGCGTGATCCTGCTAAGGTCATTCGTCGTGAACACTTGGCGGCTTGGTTGAAGATGCGGCGAGAGCATCCTGATCTCCATGCTCGGATTGCTCTAAGCTGGGGCAAGATTTTATCTCGGTTGCGTTTGGCAGGTACTCGGCGTTGGAGGGTCGTCAAGGGCCCTATTGGTGCTACGATTGCCACGCTCATGGATATTGGTTGGGTTCCGCACAGTCCCATGAATTGGGAGTCTGAGTTTCATGGTTGGGCCATCCCGTCGCGCGATGATGAGGCCTTCTCCGACTTCAGCCCCGACTTCACGGACCTGCTGGATGATGTGGAAGCTACGGTGGATTCTCTGCTGCAGGCTGCCGCTGGACATCATGAAGCAGGCGATGACTTGGCCAGAGGTGCTGATATGATGCACATTCATCGTGAACTTGATCGGCTCGCTGATGCCAACGGCGAGGACCAGGTTGCGCTCAACCTCGTGGTGGTGAGTGGAGGCCAGTGGCCTCGCCAGAGGCTGAGGGATGCAGGCTACGTGGTGCCCAGCTTGTGTCCTCGATGCCATGAGAAACCTGGGTCCCTGTTCCACAGAGTGTGGGAATGTTCCGCTAACACCCAGCATAAGGATTTCGATGATTCCCAACATTTGTACCCAGAGGCACAAGCACAGCACGAGGCGTATCCAGGATTTTGGCTTCGAGGCGTGCCTGGAGTGAGTGAGACCGTGCCTTCCTTCGCTCCTCTCCCCCCTACGGTTGTTGATTTTGGATCCTTCGACCTGATTCCCCGCGACGCCGAAGGCTTTGTGACGATCTTCGGTGACGGGTCGGGGGGGGCGTTTCTCGAGCGACCCTCGGCGTCGCAGGGTCGGGGCGGGGGTCATCGGCCTCACTCCTGTCGGATCGTCGTGGGAGCCCTCCGCGGGACGTGGGTCCACTCTCGAGGGCAGAAGGCAGTCTGTGCCTCGCGCGGAGCTCTTGGCGTTTCTCATGGCGCTCAATGTGTCTTCTAGTAATCTGCGCTTTGTCACCGATCACAGGCCGTTGGTGGATACTTGGAGCAGAATTCAGCGTGTTGGTGTGTCGAGCTGGGTGTTGGGTTCGAACGCTGATCTCTGGTCCGATATCCTTAAGGCTGTCGCCTCCCGCGGACCTGGTGTGACCGATATAGTCTGGACGCCCTCTCATGTAGAGCTCGATCAAGTGCCTGTTCCGACTGCGCAACCGGTTTTTCATATGTTTGGTAATGAATCCGCAGACTCGCTGGCTGGATTCATGGCCGAGATCGCCTGGTCTCAGTATGTGGTCTCCCCTGTACCGTGCACTGATGAGCGGGGTGCCATGGCCTCGCTGATCCGTCGGCGTGCGCGGAGAGCCCTTGCGTGTTGTATCCTCGCTGATCCATGGACCGCGGAATGGCAGCCCACCAGCAGAGGCGAGGCTGCGCTCCCGAGACTTGCTCGCTCGCTTCGGGACTCGCCTCATGTGTGGGCCCGTGCGGGCCCGAAGTTTTGGTGCAGGAGGTGCGATTTGCTTGCAAACCAGGACTCGATTTTCCATGTTTGTGAATCTCCTTGCAGGGGCGGTGGAACTCAGGAGTTCTCGCCCTATTCGGGCCCGCGGGTCGTGGGGGGGAAAACCTTCCACGAAACCCATCGGCTCCATTTCTGGCGGAAATTCATGCTTATTTTTTGCACCCAATGCGGGAAGACGTGCACGACGGATGCACAGCAGCTCGTCCCTCGATGTGAGCCCTCGGCCAAGGGCAGACAGAACCTGGCCCGCATCGAGCGAGGCGAATACCCTCACCCAGGAGGCCCCCCCAAAGCGGTGCGGGAGGCTTTGGGCTCCTCCTGATATTGTAAGTTCTGCACTTGCTTTCTGGGCACTGTTTTGACCTACGTTGTCATTTAACCCCAATGTTCCCAATGTTCCATCTCCTCCTCCTCTTCCTCCCCCGTCCTGTTTCCCTTCCCCCCCGCGCCTGCGCCATCTCGCGTTTGTCTTTGTCGCCCATGTCCTTGCCCTCCTCGTCATGTTGTTCGCCGTCGTCTTCCTCGTCCTTTCTCCTCCTCCTTTTCCTCCTCCTCCTCCTCTTCCTTCTCCTCTTCATCCCGCTGTTCCTTCCCCTCCTGTGCCTCCTCAGCCTCGTCGTCCTCCTCCTTATCCTCATCCTCTTCCTCCTCCTCCTCCTCCGCCTCCTCCTATTCCTACTGCCTCATTCGCGTTTCGTCCTGTCTCGCTTCTCCACCTCCCCCCCCCGCGGTGCGTCCTTGCCCACAGGGCCAGACCCAGGATCAAAGCCTGGATCGAAGTTGTCGTCCTGGGACTCGCCTTGGCGCCGGGCGCTCCATGAAAGGACTGCGAACATAATCTGCCACAGCTACTGCTGCATGCACATCCCCGTCATCGTACGTCCCTTCTTATCTTAAGCAGATGTGGTTGCTGGTCCCATCTTCCCCCGCACAAGCATAAATATCCCATCCCTTTCACTCGGCAACTCGCGGACCGACCCCTTCTCCCTCCTACGTCTTCCCCTCTATCGCTACCCTCGATAGCTATGTTCCCCCGGTCCCTGCTCTCTGCTCCTTCCTTTCTTACCCACGAGGGGGAGGGGAGGAGGAACAGGAGGAACAGAAGGAGGAAGTGAGGAGGAGGAGGAGGAAGAGGAGAAATGGTCCTGAACGCCCTCGGGCGGTAGTCCGCCGCGACGGCTGCCATTGCCACTGAATTACACAGAAGGCACTGCGGCGAGATAAATATATACATATACATATATATAGACATATGTATATATCAGAGTAAGGGGGAAGAACGGTCATTCATTAGCCCTGGGTGCGTGGTTGAATAAGGAATTCGTGGTGGGAAATCTGTTTGTTGCGTTGTCGTTGTCGTTGTCGGTGTCGGTGTCGTTGCTGTCGTTGTTGTTGTTGTTGTTGCTGTTGCTGCTGCTGTTGTTGTTGTGGTGGTTGTTGTTATTGTTGTTGTTATTGTTGTTGTTGTTGCTGTTGTTGTTGTTGCTGCTGTTGTTTGTGATCGTCGTCCCACCTGCGACCCACCCGCAACCCACCCCGCGACCCACCCCGCGACCCACAACGCGACCCACCCACAACCCACCCCGCGACCCACCCGCGACCCACCCCGCGACCCACCCGCGACCCACCCCGCGACCCATCTGCGACCCATCCGCGACCCACCCCGCGACCCACCCTAGGAAAAACCACCTGGACTTGACAATTGACGTTTACTAAAACGGCCTTAGGCGTTGACTAAACACCCCTGGCCTGCTCGATTCATTCCTTGCGTGCGTTTACTCAACGGCTTCGCTTGTCGGGGTGCTGATTATTGGGTTGATTTTCCGCCCTCTACACCCGCGACCCACCCGCGACCCAACAACGACCCACCCGCGACCCATTTGCGACCCACCCGCGACCGACCCACACTGGTTTAACGAAAAAATCGGCGCCTGCGGCAGGCTCGGTGTATAATGTGTGAAGCTTCGGCGCCTGCGGCGGGCTTCTCCAGAGACTCGCAAGCTGCCGACGTCCCCACCGCCCCCTCACTCTTATCCGCATCTGCGGGGTGCTACGCATACATATCGCAAACTGTTTTGGCTCTCCAGTCAATGTACAGGTACGCGCCAGCGCTGAAGCCAAACGGCCTTCAGGCGGGAAGTTCACTCGTGCTCTTTGGAGCGGCACGGGAGAAGCTCACGCGTCTGGAGGTGGTGTGAGTTCACCCGCGCCGCGTCTGCGTATGTTGGTGACTCCTGGCAGCAGACGGTGTATCTGAACGCCTGTCCCGAGACTCAGGCAAGGTGATGGCCCCAGGGTCGCGTCAAGGGGCGAGGCGGAAATGTGACGACGCCTTGACCAGGTAGATTGGAGAAGGTGAGGGATGGAAGATGACCATGGGGGATGTGCGCTCTTTTTGGCACGATCGCCTCCAAACTCTCTGCGTCAGTCGTCCTGATTACGGGGGCCGCTCCGTCCCTTGCCGAAAGCCACCTTTTCGCTTGAGGAGCCAAGGGGCTCCGCGGCCTCGGTCGGCACTACCCGCGGGCGAAGGCTGGCCCGGCTCGCTGGCAGCGGCCGCTCGGAGGGCCGCGCTGGGGCGCCTGCGCTTGACCTTCTCGTCGGCCGGCGACCGGTTTTCTGTTTCTTCTTCTTATGCTTCTTCTTCTTCTTCTTCTTTTCATTTTTGTTTTCTTGTTTTTTTTCTTCTTCCTGGGCTGGTCGTCGGACGCGTGCGTGGGCTCGTTCTTGTCCCTGTCCTTCGCGGCATTCGGAGTCGCACGCAGCCTGCGTTGCCGCGGAGTGCTCGTCGGTGGCACCGCTCGCAGGGCCCCGCCACGCTCGTCACGGGCGCAAGGGCGCCTGCAGCGCGTGCCAAGGGTGCTCTCGGCCATCGAGGGCTCAGGGGCAGCATGTTTTGACGTTTTTGGTCATTGTCTTGGCACGACCGGAATGGGCACAGAAAAAACAGGCACGATGCACAACAGCAAATGCAGTCCAGCACCAACAGCGCCCGCTGTTGGGCAGGCGCCCATTTGCCTCGAGGGGACCAGCCCGCGGCGACACCGACAGCAAGTCCTGTTTACAATGCGAATGAACTGCTGCTGGTCTTTGTCACCATTCTCTCTATACCCATTTCGACCACCAAGCCTCCGATGGTCCCCGTCGGCCTTGGAAAACCTCCGTGGTCAGTGTCGGGGGCGGGAGCAAAGCTTGCAAGCAGCGCGTGAACCTCGGGCGCACAAGGCCTTTGTTATGATGCCACGCCCTGCGAGCAAGGCCTCGCGAGCGCGCGCCCGCTGGAACGCCCCGTTCCGTCCCCTCTATAGCCACGCGGGCCGAACTGTCCGCGGTGGCCCGTGTACAACCGCGGCTGGGCAGCCAGTCCAACCCGCCCCCCTATCACGCCCCCCCCCCCTGCCCCCCTCACCCCTCTTCTGCATCGCCTCCCTCCTGCAACACCCCCTACTCCTCCTCTCCCTCCTCCTCGTCCATCCCTTTCCCTTGTGAATACCCAGCCATTCTGAAAAGAGTCCGTTCGGCGCCGAATGGCATTGCATTCGGCGAATCTCCGCGCAAGAGCCGGATGGGCTCGAATCTGCGTGAATTAAACGTGCAGAAAGCATTCCAAATAGTAGGTCGCGTCGCCGGATGGACTCTCTTTTCGCCAGATGGACCCCCTTTCCCGGATGGGCGCTGTTTTCTCGCCGAATGGGTTTTTTGAAAAGAGAAACCTTTCGGCGAGCTGGATGGGCTCTTTCCAGCTGGATGGGCTCTAACTTCGCCGGATGGGCTCTGTGAAACGACTTCGCCGAATGGACTCTTTGAAATTAGAAGTGAGTTTTGTTTGGGAAAAACAGCTGATCTTATTACCCAACCCTCCTTGGTTGAGTATTCGTTTTGAATAGAGCACTGTGGTCGCGTCCCTCCTCCTCATCCCGCCTCCCGCCTCCCGCCTCCTCTCGCCTCCTGCCCTCTCTTCGCCGTCGCTGGGGGGCTGCGATCTGCGAAACTCTCGCCACTTTCGAGGGCTGCTGGTGGGTCCAGCGGAGTGAGGCACCGCGGGGATCTGATGTAGACCTCGCCGTCCCTGGGGGGCTGCGATCTGCGACACTCTCGCCACTTTCGAGGGCTGCTGGTGGGTCCAGCGGGGTGAGGCACCGCGGGGATCTGAGGTAGACCTCGCCGTCGTGGGGGGCTGCGATCTGCGAAACTCTCGCCACTTTCGAAGGCTGCTGGTGGGTCCAGCGGGGTGAGGCACCGCGGGGATCTGAGGTAGACCTCGCCGTCCCGTGGGGGCTGCGATCTGCGAAACTCTCGCTACTTTCGAAGGCTGCTGGTGGGTCCAGCGGACTGAGGCACCGCGGGGACCTGAGCGAGACCTCGCCGTCCGTGGGGGGCTGCGATCTGCGAAACCGTCGCCACTTTCGAAGGCTGCTGGTGGGTCCAGCGGAGTGAGGCACCGCGGGGATCTGAGGTAGACCTCGCAGCCCCTGGGGGGCTGCGATCTGCGACACCCTCGCCACTTTCGAGGGCTGCTGGTGGGTCCAGCGGAGTGAGGCACCGCGAGGATCTGAGCGAGACCTCGCCGTCCCTGGGGGGCTGCGATCTGCGAAACTCTCGCCACTTTCGAAGGCTGCTGGTGGGTCCTGCGGACTGAGGCACCGCGGGGATCTGAGGTAGACCTCGCCGTCCCTGGGGGGCTGCGATCTGCGAAACTCTCGCCACTTTCGAGGGCTACTGGTGGGTCCTGCGAAGTGAGGCACCGCGGGGACCTGAGCGAGACCTCGCCGTCGTGGGGGGCTGCGATCTGCGACACTCTCGCCACTTTCGAGGGCTGCTGGTGGGTCCAGCGGAGTGAGGCACCGCGGGGATCTGAGGTAGACCTCGCCGTCCGTGGGGGGCTGCGATCTGCGAAACTCTCGCCACTTTCGAAGGCTGCTGGTGGGTCCAGCGGGGTGAGGCACCGCGGGGATCTGAGGTAGACCTCGCCGCCCCTGGGGGGCTGCGATCTGCGACACTCTCGCCACTTTCGATGGCTGCTGGTGGGTCCTGCGGACTGAGGCACCGCGAGGATCTGAGCGAGACCTCGCCGTCCCTGGGGGGCTGCGATCTGCGACACGCCACTTTCGAGGGCTGCTGGTGGGTCCTGCGGACTGAGGCACCGCGGGGACCGGAGCGAGACCTCGTCGTCCCTGGGGGGCTGCGATCTGCGACAGCGTCGCCATTTTCGAGACCTCGCCGCCCGTGGGGGGCTGCGACCTGCGACACTGTCGCCACTTTCGAAGGCTGGTGGTGGGTCCTGCGGAGTGAAGCACCGCGGGGATCTGAGGTAGACCTCGCCGTCCCTGGGGGGCTGTGATCTGCGACTCGGTTGCCACTTTCGAGGGCTGCTGGTGGGTCCTGCGGACTGAGGCACCGCGGGGACCTGAGCGAGACCTCGCCGTCCCTGGGGGGCTGCGATCTGCGACGCTGTCGCCACATTCGAGGGTTGCTGGTGGGTCCAGCGGACTGAAGCACCGCGGGGACCTGAGCGAGACCTCGCCGTCCTGTGGGGGCTGCGATCTGCGACACCCTTGCCACTTTCGAGGGCTGCTGGTGGGTCCTGCGGACTGAGGCACCGCGGGGGCCCTGAGCGAGACCTCGCCGTCTCTGGGGGGGCTGCGATCTGCGACACGTCGCCACTTTCGAGGGTTGCTGGCGGGTCCTGTGGAGTGAGGCACCGCGGGAACCTGAGCGAGACTTCGCCGTCCATGGGGGGCTTCGACCTGCGACACTGTCGCCACTTTCGAGGGCTGCTGGTGGGTCCTGCGGAGTGAGGCACCGCGGGGACCTGAGCGAGACCTCGCCGTCCCTGGGGGGCTCCGATCTGCGACACGGTCGCCACTTTCGAGGGCTGCTGGTGGGTCCAGCGGACTGAGGCACCGCGGGGACCTGAGCGAGGCCTCAAGATCCCGAAAGATCCGTGGGGCCCCCATTCGATCTGCTAGGGACCCTCAATGATCCCAAAGATTTTCCTACGGAGAAGGATCCTGAGGACCGCTGAAGTGGTGGCGTGGCGGGGCGGTGGGGTCGTGGGGTTGCGGGGCAGCGGGGTCTCGGGGAAGTGGCGTGAGGTCGAGGGTTCGCGGGGCGGCAGGGTGACATGGCGGTGATGTGATGGGTGGTGGGGTCGCGGGATCGTGAGGGCCATTGTGGTCATTTTGCCAGCCGGATGGGCTTTAATGCCGCCCGATGGATTCTAACTTGGCACCGGACGGACTCTAACGCCGCCAGATGGACTCTATCGGCTCGCCGAATGGACTCTGTTTTACGCCAGATGGACTCCTTTGTCGCCGGATGGGCTCTAATCTCGAGAGTGCGTTCGGCGCCGGAAGGACTCCATCTTTTTTTGTTTTGGTCGGTTTGTGGGGACCTCCCACGCCGCGCGCTCGATGGAGTCCATTCGGCACGCCGGATGTGCTCTTTTCGGAAGGGCCGGGTAACTCTTCCCTGTCGCACCCCGAGGTCAGTCGAGAGGGCGGGCCGGGCGCTCCGCCTGAGACTTCCTCACCATGTATGGTCCTGAAGCTCACAATTTGCAACACATTCACGGATGAAAGGCGGGTAGTCATCAATATGTGGCTCTCGCCTTGGCGCCACGTGCGTCCGTATCAAGAAATTGCAAGAGATTCACGGAGGGAGAGCAGGCTGTTTTCAAAATGCGGCTCTCGCCTGAGCGCCGCACGCAATTGCAAGAGCTTCCCTGATGGAGGCTTTCAAAACATGTGGCTTCCGCGGGTCGTGTTCAAAACATGTGGCTTTCGCTTTAGCGCCGCGCACATTCAGTCCTAATCACTTGTAAGAGTTTCACGGATGGACGGCGACTCCTGTTTCAGCGGATCTCACCTTAGCGTCGCGCACGTTCGTTTTACGAGTTTTCGACTGTTTCAAGGATAATCTGGGATAGCGTCTCAAAAAACTGCGTGTTGGCACGATGTCCGACTGTCAGGGCGTTACAGTTACGTTGATTCGTGGTGTTGAAGTTCCAGGAATGGATGTGCTCTGGCACGATCCTGGATCGTCAAGAAGCAGTGGCAACGGTGATTCGCGGCGTTGACGTCACAAGAATGGCGTTCTGGCACAACTCAAAATTTCCTAACGATTGTTTTCCAACGGGGCACTTCCTTCAGTGAACATGAACCCCTGTAGGGGCCTACGAAGAGGAAGGAACTTGAAGGGAGGGTGTATTGGAATATCGTTGGCGAGTGCTGGGTTTACACTAGTTAGTCCTCCTCCTCCTCCCCCGGCCCCCCCCTCCTCCTCCTGCTCCTGCTCCTCCTCTGTGTCTCGTCCCGCGCGGCTGCCGCCATGGCACCGCACCTGTAAGGGGCCAGGACGCGGGGCGGGAAGCGTCCGTCCCCAGCGGGCGGGCTACCAATGGTGCGACCACCGCCTTAAGCGAGGGGGCCCGCCTGGAGGGCAACCGAGAGGCGCTAGAGGGGCGACCCGACAGGGAGAGTGGAGGGAGAGGGAACAGATAGCAGGGGGCGGAGGGCGGGGGCGGTCGTAGTGGTCGTGCTGGCGGGCGTGGTTGTTGTCGTGGGGGTCGTGGTGGTCGGGCTGGTGGCGGTCCTGCTGGTGGTCTCGGTGTTGGCGGTCGTGGTAGCAGTTGCAATGGTCGCGGCAGGCGTGGCTGTGGTCGCTGGCGCGCCGGTCGCGCCGTGGTGGTCGTGCAGGTGGGCCGTGGTGGTCAGTCAGGTGGTGGTCGTCATGGTGGTCGTGGTGGTGGCGTTCGTGTGGGTCGTGGTCGTGGTGGTGGTAGGCGCTCGGTCGTAGCGGTGGGCGTTGTGGTGGAGGTGGCCCTGGCTGCTGGTGTCGCTGTGGTCGCAGGGGCCGCCGAGGCGCGACGGCGGCGCTAACTGGCAGTGGCAGCCGTCGCGGAGGACCAACGCCCGAGGGCGCTCAGAACCATTCCTCCTCCTGCTCCTCCTCCTCCTCCTGCTCCTCCTCCTCCTCCTCCTGCTTCTCCTCCTCCTCCCCTTCCCCCTCCCCCTCCCCCTCCTCCTCCTCCTCCTCCTCCTCCTCCTCCTCCTCCTCCTCCTCCTCCTCCTCCTCCTCCTCCTCCTCCTCCTCCTCCTCCTCCTCCTCCAGCGCACTGCGCCTCATGCCGCTCCCCGCCCCCTCCGCCCCCCCCCAGGCCCCGCCCCACCCCACACCTCGCTGTCGTCCAGGCCGCCGCCGCTGCCGCCCCGCACTCCTCCTGTCCCACGCTTCGCTCACTGCTCCCCCCGCCGTGCCGCCTCCACACTCTGGTCGCCGCGCGCGCGCCCGCCGCCTCCACCCCGTTCCTCTGACATCCTCGCGCCGTGGAAAACAAAACACGGCTGGCGGTTTCTGGCAATTTTCGTCCTCCGGGGGCCCTCGCTGGGCCGAGGGGCCGCCGAAAAGCAGCTCAGGATGAGAAGGTGCTCCCCGGGAAGAGGTCCAGACCTCTGGGGGACCACGCTGCGAACAAAAGTCACATCGTCGGACGTCTGGGTCAGACAGCCGCCGCGCGCCCCGCGCGAGCGCCGCCCCCACTGAGCATCGTTTATCGGGCCCACTGGCCGATGTACCCCCGTAGTTGGGGATGCAGGCTGTCCCCTTCGGGCTTCGAGGAGCATATCCCAAACTGGGGTGGTAAAACGGTGGGGCTCGGGATGAAGATGGGAATGGGGATGGGTTAAACGATGCTGACCCCCCCTCCCTTGGCGGGGGCACCGGATGGCTGAAGCCCGCCCCAGCCGATTCTGCGGAGCCGCTCCAGGTCCTCCAGCGCCTGGCGGCGGATCGGCGGCGAGTGGAAGTAAAAAAGGAGAAGGCCTCCTCAGAGGGCGGCGGGGCTTCTCAGAAGGCCCCTGTGGCCTTCCGAAAAGCTTCCTGTGCCTCCGGGAAGGCCCAGCAGACCTCCCAGAAGGCCCGAGAGCTGCCGGGCCCTCCTGGGGAGGCCCGCCCCTCCGGGTGGTCCGCGCGGAGACTCCTCCGAGGTCCGCGCGGAGACTGAGACTCCTTAAGGATCGGCGCCGGAAGCCCTCCGCCCTGGCGTGCGAGGCGCGCCAGGGGCGTCGCCGGCAGCGCAGCCAGGGGAGGCCCGGGGCCGATCCGACGAGCCGCCGAGCGGAGGCCGCCGCTGAAGGGGCCCTGGGACACACAAATAGGAGACACATATAACAGGATTCCAGGATTCCCCTATCTTTTCCCATACTTCCTGGATGTTTGCCTCCCCCACCCCTTCCCACATTTTCCCATATTTTCTGGGATCGATGACTAATTGTGTCTGCGTGTTTTTTCCCCCCTCCTGAGCCGAGGAGCGCAAAGCGCCCCGAGGGGGCGAGGGGGGCGGAGGGGCGGGGGGGCGGCGGGGGCAGGCGAGGGAGCGGCGGAGGCGGCAGGCAAGCGCGGCGGGGCGGCGCCCGGGGGAAGGGGGGCGCAGCCCCAGAGAACCAGCGCATGGGAGAACTCAAGACAGAGGCTTCTCGCAAAATTTTCAGCTTCCAGGGGCCCTCGCTGGGCCCCGCAGGACCGTCCAAGGACGACCCAGGATGGAAAGCCGGTCCTCGGGAATCGGGAGACTCTTCATGGGGGGGGATCCCATGGGGGGATCGGATCCCAGGGGGGGATCCCATAGGATCCCCCCCCACGGAGAGTCTCCCGAGGGAAGGGGCCGAGGCTTCCGCGGGCCCCGCATCGAACAAAAACCACAGCAGCGGATCTCCGGGGCGGAGCGCGGAGCGCCGGGGAGGGGCGGGCCCAGAGAGATCCGACGCCACGATGTCTTCCCCTTTTTGAGCTGTTTGCCACCGTGGAGGCATCAAAAAAGGGATCACTTCGACCCACCACAAGGACAGTTGGAGCCGTCCGCCCAATGAAAGAATTAACTACTACTCCTTTTCTTATTACCATTCCCAACTGTCCTTGTGGTGGGGTGAAACGTCCACTCTTTGAAAGTGATCACGGTGCCAGGGAACACAACCCCAGAAGTCTCGACCCCTTCTGCGAGGATTGGCTCTTCATCCCGAGTCGCTTTCTGACGGTCCTGCGGGGCCCGGCGAGGGCCCCTGGAGGCCGAAGGCTGCGAGAAGAACCGCCGTCTTGAGTTGTGCAAGACGTTGGATCTCTGGGGAGGCGGGAGGCAGCGCAGGGGGGGGGGGGGCGCCGGGGGCGGGCGAGGGAGCGGCGGAGGCGGCGGGCAAGCGCGGCGGGCGCCGGGCGGCGGGAGCCGGAGCGGGGCGCGGCGGCTCCAGACCCCCTCGCGTGGGGAACGAAGTCGCGGCGGGAGGTGTCTCGCTATTTTCGGCCTCCTGGCTGCCTTGCCCGATGGTTCCTCGCCTCCTCTTATTCCTCCTCTTATTCCTCCTCTTATTCCTCCTCTTATTCCTCCTCCTCCTCCTCCTCCTCCTCCTCCTCCTTCTCCTCCTCCTCCTCCCTCTTCCTCCTCCTCCTCCCTCCTGCTCCTCCTCCTCCTCCCTCCTCCTCCTCCTCCTCCTCCTCCTCCTCCTCCTCCTCCTCCTCCGCCTCCTCCTCCTCCTCCTCCTCCCCCTCCTCCTCCTCCTCCTCCTCCTCCTCCTCCTCCTCGATGCCCTCACCGTGCCAACCCGACTTCGCGACCCGACCGGGCTTCGCGAGCCGATCCAGCTCGGGCCGGCCTCTCTCCTCCAGAGCAGCAGCCTCGTCCTGGCCCGTGGCCCCCGCGGCGGGCCCCCCGCAGGCGCGGCGGGCAGCCCGCCGGCGAAGGCCGCCTTCGAGGCCCCGCTTCCGCACAGCCCCTGGCGGAGGGAGGTCCGCCCCTCCCCCCGGTTTTCATCGAATCGGGTCGGGCGAAGCCCCGACCCCCCTTGGGCCGTGAAGAAATCACGACGGCAGGTTTCTCTGCATGCCCAGCCTCCTGGGGCCCTCCCCGGGCCACGGGGCCGTCAGAACACGACTCAGGATGAGAAGCGGGTCCCGGGGAAGGTGTTCAGAACTCTGGGGGTCGACGTTGTGAACAAACATCGCTACGTCGGGGATCTGGGGCGGGGGGCCGCGCGGTCGCGCGGTGGCGCAGCGGCGCGGTGCCAGGGGCGGTCGGAAGAGTGGGCGTCCAAGAGGGTGGTCTGCAGATCGTGCCCGAGGGGGAGCAAAACGGACGCACGGAGCTGCGAACAAGGGGCCAACGACATCAAGGGGGCGATCTCATGGGCCGCGCCACGAGCCCGCCCCTCCCCTGCACCACAGTCAAGGCGTCCCCCCCCTCCTCGGACGCCCCCACCCGGTGGCGGAGCGGAGAGGGCGACGAGGACGCAGAGCCACACGACCTCGCAGCCCGCGCCCGAGGCGGGGCGCGGGGGCGCGCAGCTGTCTCGGCGCTCCCGCGCCGGCCCACTGGCAGCTCGGCGGGCATCGCCGCGCGGGGCGGCGCGCTGGTCACACCCATCGCCTCCTCGCGCGGGTGGCCCACACGAGAGGGGCTTGGACGTCGGACGTCGTGCTCTTCTGCTGGCGGCGCGGCTCCGCAGAGGTCCGAACACCCTCCCTGGGGACCAGCGTTTCGCCCGGAGCCATTTTCCGAGAATCTCATGGTGGGCCTGTCTTCCACCACCACCACCACCACCATAAGTCAAGAGGGGGGATGGAGGTGGAGGATGAGGAGGAGGAGGAGGAGGATGAAGAAGAAGAGGGGGAGGAGGACCCCTTCCCCCTTCAACTTGTGGTGGTGGTGGTGGAAAACAGGCCCATCGTCTCAGGGCCTGGCAGGGGCCGGAGAGGCGAGAACTGCCTCAGCGTTCCGTCGTGAACCTGCCGCGCCGCGAGGATGCCCGGCGGGGCTCGCGCACGCGGGCACAGGGTCTCTCGCGCGATGGCCTGCGCAGGCCGCCAGCGCGGCTGGCTCCTGCGAGGGCGTCGCCCAGGTGGAAGGCTAGAAAGGCGGCTGCCAGTCACGACGCCGATGTTCAAGACCAGCCCTGGAACGAGTCGGCAGCCTCTGGGGAGAGGGGTGCGCCAGAACTGTGCTCTTGCTCGCGACGCCACGCCGCTCCCAGAAGTGGGCCGCCGGCTTTGCAGCGCCGCCGCGCCTTCCACAGTTGCCCAATATGTCCGCTTCGGGGATTGGAGAAGACGGCCTGGCAAGTCCCCGCCATGACGACCACGGACTCTGGCTTCTGTCGAAACGCAAGCAGTCCAGCCTTCAGGAAGCAGCGTTGGGTGATGTCCGCTGGAAGGGTCTCCTGGCCCTCGGGTGAACCACCCTGTGTGGAACACCCGTTGCCAGGAGGAGGAGGAGGAGGAGGAGGAGGAGGAGGAGGAGGAGGAGGAGAAGAGGGAGGGGGAGGACGAGGAGGTGGAGGATGAGGATGATGACGAGGAGGAGGAGGAGGAGGAGGAGGAGGAGGAGGAGGAATGGGAGGAGGAGGTGGAGGAGGAGGAGCAGGAGGAGCAGGAGGAGCAGGAGGAGGACGAGGAATAGAGGAAATATGAAGAGGACGACGGCAACGAGTAGGACGAGGAAGTGGATGGGGAGGGACGAGGAGGACCAGCAACAGGAGGAGGACCAATGCAAACGCAAGACCCATCAATGATGTTGCAAAAACAACTTCCCGCCAAGTTTCCTCTTCATAGGTCCAAGCAAGAATCCATTTCCATCGGGGGAAGTTCCCCATCTGAAGACGACCGTTTCAACGAATCAAATCAACGTGGTTGCGGCGATGTGGGGGTCCTAAACCGTGCCAGAACACCCTGCCTGGGAATTCGCCGCAAATCATGTGACCGTTGCGCCCTGACAACCCTCAATCGCGCAAGAGAACCATTCCAGTCCTGGGACTGTAACCGTGCGAACCCTTGAGGCGGTTGCAGACAGACTTTGAAGACGAATGCGTGCGGTGCTACGGCGAGCGAACCATGCTAATGACCACCCGCCTTCCATTACTGAAACTCCTGCGCATGTTTAGGACGAATGCGCGCGGCGCTAAGGCGATACCCCCATGTTTGAAATGGGCCGCCCTCCCCCGGTGAAAAGGCTTCAAACTGTCAACCGATTGTGCGCGGCGCTCGGGCGGGAGCCACACTGTGAAAACGGGCCGCCCTCTATCCTTGAACCTGATGTAAATCTTAACAATCGCGATGGTAAGCGGTGAGAAAGTCTCAGGCACAACGCCCTGCCCGCCTTACAAACATGTTTCGGGGTGCGACAAGAAGGAGTCACTGATGAGGAAAAGGGATGGAGGAGGACGGGAAAGAGGAGGAAGATGAGGAGGAGGAGGAGGAGGAGGAGAAGGAGAAGGAGGAGGAGGAGAAGGAGGACGAGCGGAAACGATCTCCCAATGACCACCCTGTGACTTCATTTGGTTGGCTGCTCTCCCATTCCTTTCCTCCCTCCCTCCCTCCCTCCATCCCTCCCTCCTCCTCCTCCTCCTCCTCCTCCTCCTCCTCCTCCTCTTCGTGGAACGGGAGGTGGAGGGGGGAGGGGTGATGTGGGGGAGGGAGAGGAACAATCATGAAGACGGAGACATGGTTGGAAGGTTGGATGGAAGGAGCAATGGGGGAAACGCACGAGGGGGCGGGCCGGAGAGCAGGCGGAGAAAGAATGGTCGAACGCGGGGGTCAGGGAATCCGAGATGGTGGCAGAGGGACGATGAGAAAGTGGAGGGCGCGGAAGGAGAGAGGGATCGGAGGGAGGGGGGTGCGGAAGGAGGCAGGATTTGGAGGATGGGGGGCAGGAAGAGACGGGAGGATGCGGAACATGAAGGGGACTGGGCAGGAGGCGAGGAGGAGGCGGAGAAGGGGAGGGGGGTGTCCCGTCGAGGAGGAGGAGGGCGAGGAGGAGGAGGAGGAGGAGCCGGAGGAGGAGAGGGAGCAGGAGGAAACGCAGGATGATTATAGGGAGGAGGAAGAGGAATAAGAGGAGGAGGAGGAGGAGGAGGAGGAGGAGGAGGAGGAGGAGGAGGAGGAGGAGGAGGAGGACGAGGAGAGGGAGCGGGAGGAAACGCATGACAATTATAGGAGGAGGAGGAACGAGAAGGGGAATACGAATACTATGATGATAAGGAGGAGGAGGACGAGGAGGAGATGGAAGAGAGGAGGAGAGGAAAAGGGGGAGGAGGAGGAGAAGGAGAAGGAGGACGAAGAGGAGAAGGACGAGGAGGCGGAGGAGATTTGACACCCGTTCTCAGGCCCTGGAACGAATGCCGCTCCGCTAGGCACGCCCGCGCACACGGTTGCGACCCAAGACAGCCCGAGAGGGCCTTCAAGATGGCTGCAGATACCACAACATCGCTCAAGACGCCTCCAACAAGCCTCCAAGAAGCCCCAAGGCAGCCCCGAGAGGTTTCCAAGTGCTACTCCCGCCGTCCAAGCCACCTCCTAAGAGGCCAACACCTTTCAACAACCTAAGGAAAACCAAAGGTTGTTTGTGTTCTCGCATTTTCGCGTCCGGTGATCTTCTTGGGCTTCATGTTGGCTCGTAGATAGCCTAGAGAGGCCCCAGAGGGGCCCAAAACCCAAGACGCGCCCAAGAGCGCCCAAGAGGCGCCAGACAGCGGCCTGAGAGGTCCCTACGAAGCCATCTTGGAGGTTCCGAGGGGGGGCCTACATTAATTCCCTCCCCTTGTTTGCTCGATCTCCTCCAAGATGGCCCCAAGAGAGCCCAAACGGAGGCCCAGGACGGTCCCAAGAGGTCCCCCAGACCCCCCGAAAAAGCAACTAAAGGGCCCCTAGATCCCCAAAAGAGCCCCAAGAGGGCCCCCAAAGTGCCCCGACGGGCTCCGCGAGGACCCCTAAAGAGACCCACGGCGGCTCCGAGCGACCTGCGAGGAAAACACTTCCCAGGCGGCTGCTGCACTGCACGCCTCTACACTTCTCCGATCGAGGCAACTCGCCTGGCGATCTGGTTCTGGATGGGCCGGTGGGGATAGTCGAGGCGTCAAGGATCAGGCTTTGCTGGGAGGCGGAGGAGGAGTGGCCCAGCCACGGGCGAAGGGGACGGACGGTCCCGAGCAGGGGACGAGCAGGGACCCGTCCAAGAGATAGGAGAACGCCGCTGCCCCTCGAGGGGGCTATCCCGACACGCGGCCCAGGGGCCAAGCATCCACGCAGTGGCACACGAGGCGTGACCACCAGCGGAGTAGGCGCAGCGCACCTGCGAGCATGCAGGTGCAATCGCGCATTCGTGGGCCAACCCCATGTTCTGCCGAGGGGGAGGGGGGACGCAAGATGTCACAAAGCCCGCATGTCCTCCACAGCGGTCAGGGGGGGCAAATCCTGGCCCCCCACCACGCGCAGTAAAAGACGGTCAAGCACGCCACGAACCCGAATGTCCCGCCGCGGTCCCGACGCTCACGGACCAGGGCACTAGCGCCACTCAGGGGGCAGCACAGGAGGTGCCCACCAGAGGAGCGAACGCATAGCACCGGCCAATTTGCTGGTGTCATTTCGCATTCATGGCCGAGAATATGTTAGGCCAGGCCCCTCAAGAAGACGACATGCGTCGTGTGCTCGACTGCCTAATGGTTTCGCTCTTGTCCCTATCCCTTCCGCTTCTGCTGGCCGAGTTCTGCTTAGTTGACGGCCTCTCCCGAATTCGTTCATGGGAACTTCGGCCGATGCCGCTCGAAGCTCTTCTAAGCGTTCCACGCCCTTTCGTCCAAGCACGGAGTGGAGGAGGATGATGATGAGGAGGGGCAGTCGTTCGTCGTCGGACGGTGGCACCAGCGTGGTGTTGTACTCTGAAGAAGGGCTGCAGTAGGAGGGGGGCGGGATGAGAGATTCTGCCCTCGGCCCCCGCAGATCGCAGGGTGTTCGCGTTTGAGACATGCTCGGCACCTTTTGCTGACAGCGTTCGATGCTTCTTGGGCTGCAGGGGGCTCTGGGGACCATCAGTGGCGTTCCGGGTCGGGATCGGGAGCGGCAGCAGAACTTGCCAGGAGGAGGGGGAGGCGGGAGGAGGGAGGAGGAGCCAAGCGGAGGGAGGGACGGCCGAGGCTCCCGCCTCCTCGTCGTCGCTGTCGTCGTTCCTGCCGTGCAGCTCCTTGAGGGTCTTGAGCACCTCGGGTTCCTTCATCGCCTCCTGGGCGGAGCTCCGGGCCGCTCCCCCCAGGGCCGCCGCCCTCTGTCTGGGCGCCGCCCTGGGCTCCGACGTGGCCTGGCTTGTGTCGCAGCGTGGACCCCTGGAGGCCTTGGCCACTCGTTTCTACAGCGGAGGCCCAGTCCACAAGGAACCTCTCACACGAAACCCAGCCCTGAGACCCCAGGACGTTCATTCATTTTTGGTGCAGGAGCGTCACGCTTTCCATCGCAGAACCATCGAGACCCAAGAAACCCAGGGCACCCTGGAGGCAGACAGGGTGTTTCTTGGCATGGGTCTCCATTGTACGACGGCCCCGAGGCCCGGGCAAGGCCCCTGGAGGCTGGGAAATATGTTGAGCAGGGACCGACCGTCCCGGCATTCCTATAGGCCTACCACGACATGTTTGTTTCAGAACCCGAAGCTTTTCTTAGACCAAAAACAATGTCCTCAGGACACAAACCCGATGTTTTAAAGCAAGACAGTCCCAGCCAGAACGGTTCTAAGAGCACCTCGTGCAAAAAAACACAAAAGGCTCTTAGAACATTCTTCGGTGGGCCTCTAAGCGAACTGGGACACCTCGCCACTGCTGGCACAACTGCCCCACCCATTAGACCCAAAGAGCCTTCCGAGAGACCCCAGGGAACATCCCTGAGGACTCTGACACGGCGGCGGGATGGGCCGACGGCCATCCGATGTTCCGCGGGCCGGCTCTCCCCCCCTCCTCCTCCTGCTCCTCCTCCTCCTCCTCCTTCTCCATCGTTCTCCCCCTTCCTCCTTCTCCCTTCTTCTCCTCGTTCCTGGTCCTCCTCCTCCTGCTCCTCCTCCTTCTCCCCCCTGCTCCTCCTGCTCCTCCTCCTCCTCCTCCTCCCTCGTTCTCCCCCTTCCTGGTGCTGTCTGCACGGGAATCGGCACGTGTAGCGCCATTGCCGCTTGAATAACATGGCCCAGACCGAGCATCGTTCATCCGACCCCCATCCCCAGCGGCGTGGCATGGGCCCCACTGGCCGATTTACCCCCCTAGATTGGGATATAGGTAGGCCGCTCCCTTCGGATTTTGAAGGGTGTATCCCCAACTGGGGGGTTGACTTGGTGGGGGGTTCGAACGGGATGGGGATGGGGATGGGGATGGGGATCGGTTAAACGATACCGACTATGGGCGAGCCAGGACGCTTCGCCACTGCTTGCATGTGGCCCAGACAGTGCCCGCCGTGCCGTCTCTCCACGGCGCAAGGCAGGCCTGGGAGAGGCAGTCGGCCAGCCTACTCCCGCTACGGCACCTGGCTTCGACCTTCCCCTCGCCGCCTCTCCTCCTCCTCCGCCTCCTCCTCCTCCTCCTCCTCTTCCT